GCGGCGGCGCCGCCGCCGCCGCCGGCACTGCCTTCCCCGTTCGCTATCCTTCCCGTCTCAGTTCCCGATTCTGCTGCTGCTGCTGCTGGCGCTGCTGCCGCCGCCGCCACTGGCTGCTGTTTTGTCTCCCGGGGTCGCGGCATCAGATTGATGATCTCCTCCCAAATGAGGTCCGCCGGAACCTCGAATGCGGACGCGCCCAACACGTGCACCTCGATGTGGCTCCGCAACGCCAACTGCTCCGGGGTGTAGTGGTGTTGTAGTGCCTGGCAGTGGTGGTGGTGATGGTGATGTTGGTGGTGGTGATGGTGGTGATGGTGATGGTGATGTTGGTGGTGATGGTGATGTTGGTGGTGGTGATGGTGGTGATGGTGATGGTGGTGGTGATGTTGGTGGTGGTGATGTTGATGAGAGCGAGCGTAGGAGCACTGACGAACACGGCATTGATGGCGGTGGACGTGCGAATGCACTCGTGGTGGTGGTTTTGGCAGTGCCGAGGGTGTGTGTGTGTTTGCATGCATGTGGACCGCAGACGGATTTTCTCGTACTCAGCACAACTGTCCATTATTGTCCTGCGCTTTCGCCCGCATTTCGCCCGTATTCATTTGTCTTCGCAATCCTTAGCCCCCGTAGTACATATCTTCGTCGTACTTGCTACCTTCTCACAACACCTCGTGAGCAAGATATGGTGCACCCTGCCCAGTCGGGAAAGCCGGAATGTCCCCCACAACACCGTGATCACGTCTCCGTACACCGTACACCGTACCTGGATTACCGTCAACGCCTGCGACATTCGCTTGCTCAGCAGACACATCATTGCGCCGTCAAAAGCGGGTAGTGGCCGCCACGCCCGAAACGCCGCCCAGCCTGCCGGCACGGGCTCCCAAACACCGCCGCTCGAATGACCCGTGGGTCGCGGCGGCGGCTTGTCAGGCACGTAGTTGGGCAGCCGGCCCGTGGCGGTTAGGTACCGGTGTGTCAGCAGCTGACTCTCGTTCATGTGCTGGTACGACATACATACCGCGGCGTGAGGCCCCGTCAGGTAGGCAGTACGATGCTCGTCACACACCCAGCCCCAATGGCAGTGGGGGCAGCAGCTAAGGCCACTGCCGCCGCCGCCGCCAGCGGCGGCCGGCAGTTGCACGGCGGCGGCGCTTCCGTGGTGGTCGCATGCGGTGCCACTGCTGGCATCTGGAGCGGCGGCGGCGGCGGCGGCGGGGGCGGGGGCGTGGCCAGCAGCCGCAGCCGCAGGATTGGCTGTTCTGCTCTTGGCGAGCTGAGTGCGGGTGCGCATACAGACGCTGCATTTCGCCTCTCCAAGAATAGCACGGAGCTCGCCGCGACTTAGCGGCCGCCGTAGCAAGGGCTCCAGAACTCGCTGACAGTTAGTACGCTGAGCGATACAGAA